TTATTGAGAAAACTGAAACTCTGGAGGGACTTCAATTTAGAGCCATTCAGTTCAGTGAGGACACTGTGCAGAATCACATGCAAGATGCAAGGCTCTCACCCGGTGTAAAACGCATTGAAATGTTTGCAATCGTCTACATTAATTGATCCAAACGCAAAGTCGCAGAAAGTTGAATTATTTCACCGGAGCATCCTCCCACTAATGAACCTGATACTGTGATTTAGTGGCTGCTCCAGTTTACTCAGACTTGTTCATCTGTTTGGCCTTACATCCAAGTCACAATCTTCGATACTTTGAAACTCACAGCATATCGATCACAGCTTCTGGTTCAATAGACAAGCGCAGGCAAGAAGCCAGAGCAGCCGGGGTATCACGTTTTCAAATCCACTCTAACACGATGGTGCCTATCGACTGCGCTCATTCCAGTCAGAGCTGCTAATAAAGACATTGATGCTTCAGCTCCTGGTTGTGATGCAAGTCAGAGAACATGAATCGCGGCTGCAAAAACTCTCCCTCTTTTTGCCAGTACATAAAATGAACTTTTGATCCATGGCTCAATTCATGACACTACCAAAATCTGACAATGAGAAAAGATTCCATGCACCAACCTCATGTCCGATTTTTTTTTAATCCTTGTTGATACACATGTTGGTGTTGGGGGTGGGGTGTTTCCTGAAAGACACTTGCTATGTACGTTCTGATGTTCCATAGTCAAGCTGATGTCATTTAGGTTGGTTAGATATTTAGCTCTGCTGATTGCATAAAACCACAGATAAAGCGTGAGGTGAGGCAGACAGGACTCTGCCTCCTCACTGTGCAGCCTCCGCTGGCTGGCCCTCAGCCACACTGAAGTGGGAGTAGGAGAGCGCACGCGTTCACATTAGTGCCGTTCTTCTTCTTCTATGACTAGCTCGCAAGCCTGCTCTTTGACGGTGATTTCATCAGAGCTCACCAACGGTGGGGAATGAAAGCGTAACTCCCAGACAGCTTCTCATCGTTTTGGCTGGAAAGGATTTGATCTAAATTGTACCAGAGGGGACAAAGTTACTCCCATTTGTGTTCACTGTGACACTTAGAATGATGATTCCTTCCGAGTAGCTCGATTTTTTTTTTCTCCTGGGAATGTTTGCTTCCCTCATGCCGGATACAACAATTCCTGGAAATAACGTGAACGTCTGGCCAGGTCCAGGACAATCTTGCAGACGACTTTGTGAATATATAATTCCCAGCTTTCAAGCCACCCCCTTACCCCCATCCCAAATCAATCCCTTCGCAATTGGCCCAGATACATAGCAAATCATTCCCCATTCTCTATCCAGGAGGCAGTCCCAAATCCCATTTTCAAGGGCTTCATTGTCAAGCCAATTAACGTATGTTGTTGTTGGAATTATCTCTTAGAGTCTCTTCTTCAGCAAACAGCAAGTCATTTTCAAATTGTAGGTCAGTGACAGCTAACAGGAGTGGTCCAGTCTACAGAAAAGTTGACTTGTGTGATTTTTGCTTCTCTATACGCCATTGCTTAGTTAGTTTGGTAGCTTTAGGGTCAAAATCCAATCAGGTCACATCAGAGAATGTATTTATTTCTCTTTTAAGACATTTGGCTTTCATGGTGGGTTTTTCAGCATTTGTCCATCCCGCTTGATATGGCATTTTTGATTCGGTTACCGTGGTGCTGTCATGTATCGCACCCATCCCCCATGCCTCGGAAATAAGCAACATCCAACATGCTTGAAGTTGGAGGGCAGGTGTCGCATCCCCTCAGGATGAAGCGGAGGGGGAGACAAAGTATGCAATTCCTGTTTGGCATGTCGTCAGTGCTGCCACGGAAAGAAGGCTCAGGAAGTGCGTGTGCGTGTGCCACGTGAATTGCTCCCTGTCGCTCTGCAAGTGAAAACCTGGTGCGGCAGTCGATGCAAGTGGAAAAGACTCCATTGTACTTGGATGTTAAATAAGGTCAGCAGCCGTTGCAACACCGATTACACGTTCAATACTATTAACGATTCACCACGAGGCAGCTTCAAACTTTGACAGCTCCGTGTGGCTCTTGGCATTTTAATAGCAGAGAGCCTAGTGTGTGTGTGTGTGTAGAGAATGTTCTTTTTGTTTGCTCACGTGACCAAAAATATTTTGCTTACCTGGGACATTTTGAGGTCAGGTTTCAAAAACTTCAAGTGGTGTATTTTTATTTGACATTGTGCATTAACCACAGTTAAGGAACTTGTAAAACATGTGTGCGTAAAGAAAACAAATTCGTTCGGGGAGTCTTGTGAATATTTTCAACAAAAATAAATGTTACTCTTACTTACTCTGACCCTTACTCTTATTCACATACGCCGTGAGGTAGTATGCACGGTTGGAAAAGAATACATTTGAGTTTGAAGTTTATTCTCAGACTTCAGTGACTGGCTGTACATTTTTTGGGGCTCCTTTTTTTTTTTAACTTGTTTTCTAGTGTTTCATGGTTCCTGGATCAAAATAAGTACTAAAGTGAAACCGGTGTTATTTATTGTACATTGTTTTGTTCTAATATTGACAGTCTCATCTGTATTGTAATATCCAGCTGTAATGGCCACTTGATCGCCAAGATCATTCAAGTTCCATCTCATCACATCAGCCTGTGCCAGTGCAGCTAATTCTGGAACTATATTGAGCCAGCCTGTAAATTTTTTTTCAGCCACAATTTGACCTTTCGGCAAACGGAAAGTGTCGTAATGAGGTGACCTGCAGCTTAATGCTGGCTGGCAGGCTTGAACGTACGTGTGACGTCTGATTGGTGCCATGAGGCGTAGCTCATACAGCGGCATTAAAAAGGCCAAGTAAAAAATGTGCCATTAGCATTAGTGAGAAATGATAACGGAGTCCGACGTCACACATCAATGTGTCATCATTGCCTTCTTCATTTCATCTTTCTATTCTTGGCTTGACTCATTAATTCTTTCATGATTCCATTCCTTCCTTTCGTCTCTTTTGTTCTCCTACCTGGTGAAGTGAACGGAAGATGGATGGCATATTCCTCCTTTTCCCCTTTCCCCTTTGTGTTGCCATGCTTGATTTTCTTTTCTGTCCACCCTTTTTCTTTGATTCTTTTGATTCTCTAATCTGTTTGTTGTCTTCCTCTGCATACTGCCGCCTTGAATATTCATGTTCTTATTTCTTTTTCCTTTTTTTTCCCCCCATTTGCTTTTTTTGTTTTCTGGACAGTTAGCTTTCATTTTGTGCCCTCCCCCCTTTCTTTTCACTTTCCTCTTTTGCCTTGTCTTCGGTCTTCCGCTGCTTGTCTGGTTCCCAATTCACCGATCGAGTATTTTGCCCTTGATGCATTCGTTCCTTTACAATTTGCCTCTATTTTTTTCTCCATTGCTTGTTATCTGCCTGTCAATCTAATCTGTCTTTCCTTTCCTACATTGTCCTCCGATGCATGCTCCCATATTTGTTCCACTCTTTCGCACTACCTTGACATTTATTCAAGTATCATTCACGATGCCAACTTAATATAAATGAACAGCGTCCAAACTGGAAGGCAACGCAATATTTCATGCGACTCACTGATGCCTCAAGACGGTGAACGCGTTTGCTATCGTGAATATGCTAAGTGTAAGAGGAGTAAAGTGCTGTTCGCGACCGGCAACCTGATCTGAGCTCACCGAGTGTGCTCCCGCAGCAAGTGTTGTGACAGTATCAAGCATGCGACTGTCAGCTTTAATAGGCAGGACTCCTTCAGATTACCCTAATGTTCACACACCAGCCGGCCTGGCACGAATCCACATGATACACCTCAGCGCCGCGTGGCTCACAGAAATAGACAGCATGAGGCACATAAAAGACACGCACACACCAACAGCAACAGGCAATACAAACAGTGGCATGGACGGAGCAACTGAAATGACATCATGACATTTTTCCTCGCCCCCAAAACACGCTGACCTCGCTTGTGGCTTCAATTCGCCATCACTCATCAGAAAGTGGCTGGGGCATACAAAATATTGTGTGCCTCCTGACAATTTTTGAGTGGGTTCCGCGCAGTTTAGACTTTGGAGATGCTCCTTTGTATTTACTGCCCAGCATTTACAGTCAAAGCTGTCAAAAATTCTAATATGTTTTGAACCTGCAAGCTGTACAAATACTATTTAGGACTGAGGGGTGTGATAATCATGGCACCAGATCTCGATATCTTTTGTTTATAAATCAAACGAACATGTTTTCTATTTTCGCTTGCCCACAGCAGAGAATAAGATAAGATAAGATAAGATAAGATATCCTTTATTTGTCCCACACTGGGGAAATTTACAGCCTTCAGCAGCAAGATTGTGGGGAGAAAGAAGAGAAAAGAAAACTATATATATATATAATAGAATACATCTCAACATCTGCCTAATTGTGGGTTTAAAGGACCTGTTTTCCAGAAGGCGCAGGAAAAGAGTGGAGAGGAGTTCTGAAGGCATTTTCTGCCCCCATGTGGTCGCAGAGAAAATGCATCAACTTGTTCTCTGCCTTTTGTAATTACAGAGCAGCTCCCACATTGTTTGTATGATCACATTCATTTATCGAATTAATAATTCATTTGCGTCGGTGGCTTATGATGAACAGATAATTGGGCTGCATTAAATCTGCACAACGGAGTGTAAGAACCAGGATAAGGAATTCCTACTTTGTTTTGTACTCATTTACTTGTAATCGGTAATCCAAACATGTTCACAACACTTATTCAAGATAAGCCACAATATGCTGCAATTTAAAGGAAGACACCCACATTTTAATTGTGTACAAATGCATTTTTTTATGTACATGGCAAAAATATTGTCAAAGTATCTGCAGTAACTCCCTCAGGTTCTTTGTGAGTGGCCCGTGTGAGCTTTAGTGGTCAGCTATAATCCTCTTGGGCTCTTGTATGAGATGGTGATGGGCTTAGATGTCACTTGTGGTAGTGACGGGGGCTTGTCTCTCCACAAGAGTATTAGTGATGCTAAAAGCAGCAACAGCGCTGCAACCGACTCATTCAGGCAGCGTATTTTTGGAAATCAACACGTTTCTCTCAGGGCCACTTATAGACAGAAAGGCAGATGGACCTTTAGGCGCCTGGATATGTTTGGCAAATTTAAAGGCATTCTGGGTGGCCCGCAGCCACCGGTCACCAGCGGTGCTTCCGACCCACCAGCACCGGCTCCTGCTCCTCCAGCTGCAGCGGAAAAAAAGGTAAAAAAGACATTTAAAAAGAATTGGCAAAGAATTGCAGACCTCATACAATAATCCAACACAATAACTGGATCCACACCCACTCACACAAAAAAAATACATTTCTCATCTAATTTGCCATCTGACTTTGTTTTGTAGGATGATAAATCTCCTGAAAAGGAAAAGGAAAATATGAACAAACCTCAGGGTAAGTCTTGTTATTTGATATGAAGTCATGCATTCACAAAAGGAAAGCTGCTGTGTGATTTGCATTGCGTCAAAAAGACTGTGTCTACAAAATTTTACTTCTTTGAGCAAAATTCAACCTACATTTTCAAACAGATTTCTATGACACGAGTACTTAGAGAAGGTGTGGGGGTCTCGGAAAAAAAAAAAGACCCAACCCAAAACAGTTGTGTCTGTGTGTGTGTTATTAATGACATATTTTTGTGTCCGTGCACGCTGCACCCTTAGCATCCTATCAGTCTAATTTTCACAAAAAAGTATTTAAAAAAGAAATTCTCACCGAAGTTAGTTTTTTTCCTTTTCTCAAACTCACCAACTCTCGTGTCTACTTTATTTGTCTCTTTCGTTCACCTTAGGGGCCGTTGTGGCTGTTGCTCATTATGGCATGCGTGTGTAAGTGTGTGCATATGCGAGTGTGTTCAGTCACGGGTCCATCGTGGGAGGTTGGTTGATCGAGAAGTAGTTCTTGGGTCAAAAAAGGTTGGGCACCCCTGACTTAGAGGATAGGGTCATGCATAGTCATCAGTGATTAGTCATTTATGTACTGTAAATATTACTGCCCTAGCCCACTGGTTAGAATATACTGTAAATTAATCAATCAAATAAATCAATCCCAGCTCCAGCACCTGCACCAGCACCCGCACCCGCTCCAGCTCCCGCTCCAGCTCCAACATCAGCGGTTATCGTAAACCCTGATCAAATTGGACCAGAGGGGTAAGAAATACAAATACAGTCTTCAGCTTTGAAGCTCAAGACATGATCTGATTTAAGCAGGGATTGTTTTTTTTCCCTCCGATATTTAATTTCAACATTAGAATATCATGCAGTATAAAATAAGCATTGACAGGGACACATTTGTTGTATATTTTGAATTATCCTCTCACCAGTTGCAGAGAGTCTACCAAAACACTTGCCTGCTGTTTCGATGAAGAAAAAAAACAAAACAGTATCAAATTAATCACTCAGAGTGTAGTTAATTAATCAGATTCCCGGGCAAGATGACAGGGTAGATGGAGAAAGCCCTCAGAGAAAAACACAGCATGTGCGATCTTGATGCCCTGGAACAGAATGCATATTAACGAGAGGATGAACCCAAAGTAGATTAAAAGCTTTTCGGCTTTTGTGATTTAAGGAGCTCACCATGGCCTCTTCGGGCCCTGCAATATAAATCATTGGGTGACAGGTAAAGACAGATAAAGCTGATCCTTGCACTTTTAAACACTTCTTGACAGGAGTGGACCTGTTGTTCAATTTGAATTAGATGACATGGATAGGTTGACCTATATGTTGTTGCCAGCTTTGGCGTAACAGGTGAAATTGTGATCACATTTAATCTTTAAATACAGTATTTGTTTTCAAAGGAGTCAATTTTTTAAAAAAATTCATGGAAACAAAGTACTTAAGGCTCTATTTTTGTCGCTCTATTTTAAGCACAAAAATCCACGTGTTAGCCATTTTGCCACTTGCTGTCGACTGAAAATGACATCATAGTTGCTCAGGGCTCAGACCGTGATTGGTGAACATATTGTCAAGAAAATTTGGGGGTTGACTTCCCCTTTAAGATGCTGCTACCGGGACCAAGCGCAGATGTTCAAATATCCGATATGGGACCAGTATAGTCTCAAACAGACAATAATGAAATGAGTTATTTGAACTAAATACATACCGGTCTGTTATTTTCTACAGCTCTTTATTTTATTCATTCATTGAATTTAGAAACACAAATGGGTGACTTCCACCACAGTCCCATTCCATTCCACTTGGTACGCTCAGCTTAGTGAAGTTCCTTTAGGGTTGAAAATTTCACACCCTGCTGTTGTTGTTTTCGTGCATCGTGCATGTAATGTGTGAAAGGGAGATCGTGTTTTATTTATTCAGAAAAAAGGAAGCCCCACCTCCGCCAGTCGTCATCAACCCGTATTCAGATGAGCAGCTTCGCTCCATAGTGAAACGTATGAGAGAGAGACTTAGTATCTACAAGGAGAAAGTGACCGATCAATATGCTTCATCGCCAGAGATCACACCCCCTGTCAGTGAGTACCAAGCCCACATATTCAACGGTGATCAGCTTTATGTCTCAAAAGCATCAAGTCATTCTGGTGTTGCATGCCCCTCGGATACAAAGTTGCACATTGTTGGTTTAACCTTTTGCCCTCTCAGCACCGCTGCTGCACAAAGTCCGCTACGCTGAGGTGGTGGAGGAGAGGAAAAGGCAAGCGGAGGAGGAGCGGATAAAAAAAGAGGAGGCCGAGAAGAAGAAGAAGGAAGAGCAGGAGAAGAAAAAGAAAGAGAATGAGCAAAAGAAGAAGGAAGAGGAGGAGAAAAAGAAACTGGAGGCAAAAGAGGAGAAAGCGAAGACTCGAGACTTCAAGGTTGTGTTGAAGGAGAAAATGTGGACGTCCGTGGATGTCTTTCTGAAGCCCTTGGAGGACAGCATGGATTCTGTGCTCGGAAACACCATTGATCCTTTTACAGGTGAACACGGCTTGCGTTAAGCAAGAGCTCAAAGACTCTTTGTTAGCATTCGGCTCGATTGCTTTCAGATCGTCGCTACATTGCCTGGCTGAGTGTGGTGACTCTCGCCTTCAACTACAACACGTGGTTCGCTACCGCCCGTCTCTGTTTCCCCTACCACTCCGACTGGGCCATCCCTTACTGGTTCGCCATGGACCTGCTGGCTGACTTCATCTACCTCACAGACAGCATCATCTTCCAGTCGCGCAAGCAGTTTGTCAAAGCGGGAGACATCATAGTAAGTTGGAAATGTCCCACCCAAGGGAAGACGCTGCGTTCTTGCGCAACTGAAAATGCAACTTTGTTTTCCCAGAAAGACAGAAAGATGGCCAAGATGAATTACAGAGAAACAGAGAGATTTATGGTAGGGATGGTATTGATGGAAGGAAATGTTATCTTCCTAATGACTGTCGAACGCTCAACCGAGCTGTCGTCTCATTGATCTCAATAGGCCGACATCGTGTCAGTCCTACCCTTGGACTTACTCTACTTCCAGTTTGGTTTCAAATCCATTTTCAGAGCCAACCGCTTGCTGAAGGTGACTATGAACGTTTTTTACAGTTTTTTTTAGTTGCTCAATTGCTGCTGCCGTTAACATTTCGCAAACAATTCCAAGGTAGATACGTTTTTCGAGTTCAGCGACCGCCTGGAAAGTATCATGGCAAAGGCCTACATCTGGAGGTAAGTTGTAAGTCAACCATTGATGGATGGATGAACGGATGGCTGGATGTCAAGCAACTCCCTCCTTTCCTGTTCCGTCAGGGTCATTCGCACCATCGGCTATCTCCTCTTCATGCTCCACATCAATGCCTGCTTGTACTACGTCGCTTCAGACTACCAGGGCATTGGTCAAACCAAGTGGGTCTACTCCGGACTGGGAAGTGCGTGAGTATTTCTGCATTTCAACCTGCACCAGCGCCCGCTTTCTTTTGGGTTTATATTGTCTTGAGTGTCTGTCAGTCTACAGAAACAATTCGGTGGGCCGAAAGAAGGTAATTTAAAGCTGTGGTCGAAAATAATAATGAAATAACCTGCTCTCAGAAAATCTGCACAAAGTCTATCGAAGAAAATCTCTCAATTGAAAACGTGCTGTATGTTCTATGTTTGCTGCCGTGGCTGCAGTTACCTCGCCTGCTTCTTCTATGCGGAGAAATCCTTGCTGATGATCGCTGAGTTGCCTTTTCCTGACACCATGTTTGGAATGATGTTTCAGATGACAAATTACCTTTTCGGGGCTTTGTTTATGTCCATCATTCTTGGCCAGGTAGATTATTTATTGAAAACTTTTGAACTTTCTTTCTTTATACTACAAGGCCTGTCAGAACGGTTCCAGGACCGGCGTCACAAAAAAATGACTGTAACACGGTTTCCCTGCTTTCTCGAACTTGCTTTCATTCGCACCCCGAGGGATCATTCCAGGTTCCTCCACAGCATCGTTGTCATGACTATCTTGCTGTATTCAAAATGGATGCCCTTGACGACCCACTTGAGCTTGAGAATTAATTGGAACAAGATCGGTGTGTTTGGAAGTCGCTCAAGGATGGCACTGGTCTTTTCTGCTCGGAATTGTCACATTGGCAAACAGGCACATTGACTGAGTGAAGAAGCCACAAAGTTGGAGTCTTTATCTTGGGATTGAAATCTGTTTTTTGTGACACCAGCTGCGGAACTTCTCTGACACGCCTTGTGTTTTTGTGTTTTCTGGTCGTTCCCATAAAGCAACTTGATCAAATAGGGTTAGGGCCAAAATGCAGGTTTGTTTTGTTCGGTCTGTTTGGATCGCTAATATCAGTGTCAAACAGGTTTCACTTCCGATCATTTGAAATTACTCCAGGAGGTTGTTGCATATTATTAAGGAAGTCACAATGGACGATTGGCGTATGCATTCATTCAAAGAACCGCCCGGTACGGTCCACGGGCGGGCCCTTTAACCCCCTCACCCTCTCTACAGGTACCTGCGTTGTTACTACCACGCCGTCCGCAGTCTGATCAACATCGGGGGTCTTAATGAACCCCACACCGTCTTTGAGATAACGTTTCAGATGACAAACTTTTTCACGGGCGTCTTTGTATTCTCCAGTTTGATCGGCCAGGTAAAATAGAAACGCATTTTCCCTGTAGTGTGGACAAATTTCACCTCATTCAAGTAGTGGTAGACAAGACAAACCAACCCATTTAGGAGTGACATTTGGCTAGGCCCATTACTACCCTGTTATTTATCCATCAGTTAGCGGTTTCCCTACAGCATCTTTACTGCCAAAGACCGTTTCAAAAAGCTAAATGTTCGCGACGAGAAAACTGATATTTTGTTTTTTCTCACTAATTATTCTGCTCGTTTCAGATGAGAGATGTCATTGGTGCAGCCACAGCAGGACAAACATACTTCCGCTCGTCCATGGACAGCACCGTGGCCTACATGGTCACCAACCGCATTCCCTCCTTAGTTCAGAACAGAGTCCGCACCTGGTATACGTACACCTGGGATGCTCAGGGCATGCTGGGTAGGTGCCATTTCATTTGTATGAAGGAATCGTTGCAAAAAAAGAGCAGAGATGACCTGCAACGTCCCTCCTGGTGTCTCTAGATGAGTCTGAGCTGCTGGATAAGATGCCGTTGGTGATGAGAACCGCCATCGCCGTGGACATCAACTTGACCACTTTTCAAAAGATTGATCTCTTCAAGGTGGATGCGTGTCGAAGTATTTGTAAAGCACACGATCATTTACCGGGATATTTCTGACTCCTGAGACTAATGGTGCATATTTCCCCGCAGGGCTGTGACCAGCAGATGTTGGTGGATATGTTACTGAGACTCAAGTCCATCATCTATTTGCCGGGGGATTTTGTTGTCAAGAAAGTATGTTTGGGGTGTTTTTATGGATGACCAGTCTTTTACTCCATACATCATTTTCACCATCCATATGTTCCTCGCCACTTTTTCCGCAGGGTGACATCGGTAAAGAGATGTACATCATCAAGAGCGGAGCAGTGCAAGTGGTGGGAGGACCTGACAACAGTATTGTCTTTGTCACGCTGAAGGCCGGCTGTGTGTTTGGAGAGATCAGGTTAGTGCACTTGCATGGAGGGACAAACAAAGATACATTTCTGATGAAATAAAGCATGCAAATAAATAACAAAAAAAGTAATGTTTCATAATAATTGTATAAGAATCCTTCATTTATTTATTTTGCCAGTCTGCTGCAGTCATCCAAAGATGGAGGAAACAGGCGGACAGCAAATGTCAAAGCCTACGGTTTTGCTAATCTTTTTGTCCTTGAGAAGAAAGATTTGTTTGATATTCTCGTCCACTACCCAGAGTCTCAGAAAGTGCTGGCCCGAAAGGGAAGGTGAGACAAATGCTTACATCCTCAATGTTGTTGTGACTTTGGTGATCATACTTTCCCGTGAACCACACATCAATCAGATGTTCGAATATTTCTTGACATGAAATGTAAAAATGCGTGTATAGGAAACTCATGAAGGCCAAGGGTCCGGCAGCAGCTAAAGCGGAAGAGGAAAAGAAGAAAGGTCTGGCACTTTTTGGAGCCAAGCCGCCAACACCCAAATTGCTGCGAGCCATCGGTGGAGGCTTTAACAAGAAAATAATGGAAAAACTCAAGGTAAGGTCATTTAACATTTTGTTCAAATTCTATCTTGTGATCGTCACTGTATCTTTGCTGATCCAAATATTTGTGTTCTTTTGTTTCTAGTCTTCCGCTGCCACTTGAGAGACACTTCTGTTGATTCAAACTCCGTTTTGGGAGTGGATTTTTTATTTATATGGAGAGACAATATCAACTTTGTACTTTATTGTCAATGTATTGATTGCATTTACACAAAAATATCCTGAGATCCAAGTCTTCCTGTGTGACCCAGCCTCCATTTTCAGTAATTGTACTTGACCGTAGCCATCTGTTTACCTTTGTCTGCATTCGTTTTCTGTCAGTGCTCACTGGTTGTAAAATCCTGACAGAGACTATGTCACAACTGCTGCATTAAATGATTCCAATATTTAACGGCAACTTTGCAAAGTCTGGGGGGTTTTTGTGGGGTTTTTTTTTTTCGTATTTGAGTGTGTGTCTGTCATGGTTTTGGTGAGAGAGACAGAGAGACAGAGAGAGAGAGAGTGCTGACCATAATCTCATTATCCAGACTGGGACCTCTTCTGACATACCGAACCAAAATAAATTCAGGGAGTCCATTCTGACTCCACTAAGTAAAGTTGAAAACAACTTAATACAATGTTCTTGTCCATGAAGTTTCTTGGTTATGTTCGGACTTTTGAAGGAAATGTTAACACGAGTGCTCACCCAACCAAAAGCAGTTAAGCTTTCCTGGGACTGACTGATGTTAGTGACGACTGATCTGGTGATGACTGTGCCAAGAGAAGGGCAGACTCAGCAGGGGTTATTCGGGCTAAAGGAATTAATTGCGTCAGTCCGTTGTTTGTCAATGTGAGAGGCAGACAAAACCAGAGTCTCCCGGCCGGGATTCATCGACCCACAAAAAAAGATTCTGTAAAGAGGAGGAGAACAACAGCATATCTTTTGACAGCAACCCGTATGCGATTCTGCCATGTTCACCAAATTAAAGGCCTTAGTGGGGGCTCCTGAGCCTCCACCTGCCCAGGCTGCTCCTGTACCTTCTCCAGCTGCTCCACCGGCGAAGGTAAGCCTTGGATGCCTTTGAAAATTATTTTGGAATGTGGTCTTAAACAGAGTTGTCATGCCTTTCCACCTGGGTTGCGACCATTTTCAGCGAGACTTGACAAAGAGCAGCTTTTTTTCAAATGCAATGCTAAACTCCAATTGATGGCGGTGACTCTGCTTACATTGGCTTGCTTCATTTTTGTTTTTTTTCGGTCATTAGCCTCCTGAAAAGGAGGAGACTGCCCAACCAAAGGCCGATACAAAGCAAGCTGAGAAAGGGAAAGAGGAACCGGTAAAAGGAGAGAAGAAAAAAGATGAGGAAGAAGCCATAAAAGAGCAGCCAAAGCCAGGTACAGTAAGACTGAATCCAACGTGAACTTGTTTTATTCCATTTGAATGTCATTAACTTTAAAGATAAATCGTGTTCGTTTGTAGTATGTCAACAAACTATCATGACTGAATACTTTTACAATTTACAAAGGAGAAAGCAGACATTTTTATCTTGGGAAAGACGAATGGTGATGTTTTGTTTTTTTTCCAGTTCCCGCCCCAGTAGCTCCTGTTGAGCCTGTCAATCCAGAGGGAGCAGAAGGGTAAGAAGACGATCTTTGTAAATAACGCCTGTGCTCCAGTGACAGCGTGAGGAGAAGCTGATTAGAAAATGGATGGACGGATAGTATTTTGCGATTTGTGTCTTAGTGAGTCTGCGACTGTCTAACTGCAGGAGAGATTATCAGCTACTGGCTGCTTTTGTCCACGTATCATTAAACCTTTGTCACTTTTCAATCACATTTTCAGTGAAGAGAATGCACCTCCTGTGGTCTACTTCCGTGACACAGACGAGACTCTCAGATGGTTGGTCAAAACGTTGAGGGAGCGAACGACGACGTTGAAAGAGAAAGTCGCTGATCCATATGCCAGTTCTCCCGAAATCACCCCGCCCGTCAGTAAGTATGGACAAAAACAATCAACACGTACACACAGTTGGCTACAGCGTCATTGAACTCAGCGCTTTTCTCCCTCCTCAGCGCCCATTCTGAAGAAGGAGGAATACCACCGACTGAAGGAAGAGGAGCGGATAGCGAGAGAGGAAGCGGAAAAGAAGGCGGCAGAGGCGGCGGCCAAGAAGGCGGAAGAGAAGAAAAAGAAAGATGAGGAGAAAAGGCTGGAGGCAGAGAAAAAAGCAGAGGAGGAGAGAATAGCACAAGAGGCCCAGAAGAAAGAGAAGCGGTTCGCAGGTCTGGGCTTCAGCTGCTTGGATGTGCTCTTCCGACCTATCGAAGACAAACTGGATCATGTCCTGGGATGCACCATCGATCCTTTCACTGGTGGGTGAGGAGATCCACAGATGGCACGCTCGCCAAAGAAATGCAGTCAAATAGCGACATAACAACACGTTTGGCTCCTCAGATCGGCGTTACATCGCTTGGTTGACCATTGTGGCGGTGGTGTACAACTACAATATTTGGTTCTGCTCCGCCCGCTTGGCCTTCCCCTTCCACAATGACACGGCAAACCGATACTGGATCATTTTGGACATCCTGAGTGACCTGGTGTATGTTTTGGACATGATGGTTTGGCAGCCTCGGCTTCAGTTTGTCCAAGCGGGCGATGTTATTGTGAGTGAAAGGAGATGACGCTGATGGTGATGCAATCTGAAGAGACGACATCTTGAGAAGGGTATTTTTCTCTTGCAGAAAGACAGGGCCATGACAAAAAAGCATTATCGCGATTCACCTCGTTTTAAGGTATTGTGAGAAAGTACTTGAATCACACAAGCATTTGTCCTTTGCCTTTTCCAGCTGATTCTCGTCCCGCTTTTTCTTTTGCCCTGCGTAGACTGACATCATCTGCATCATCCCCTTTGACCTTCTCTGCCTGTACTTTCAATTCTCAACTATTTACAGACTCAACCGCTTCATGAAGGTATGCAGGCCACCGATTCTTCTTCTTCTGCTCACCATTGTTGCGCATGTCTCCATTCTCGTTTGTCTCTTTTGTGTCACAGATTGAGTCTTTCTTTGAATTTAGTGATCGACTTGAGAGCATCATGGCCAAAGCCTACATCTGGAGGTAAGAGCGGCGGCCATTTTTTTTCCATTGTCAGTCATTCTGGTCAGATTACTCCCAAGTGCTTTCCATACAAGTATTGACTGTAGCTTTTGCCAACAGTCATGGGTTATAATCACAATCATTATTTTATCTTTGACTCCTGTGCGTTTTTCGTGTTCTTTCTCTTTTCCACAAAGAGTGGCTCGCACCACAGGCTACCTGCTCTACAGCCTCCACCTCAATGCCTGTGCATTCTACGTCGCCTCCGTACACCAGGGCCTTGGCACCACCACGTGGGTCTACAATGGAAATGGGACAGCGTATGTGCTTTTCATTTTGCATTGACGACGGGCAACGATGTGCGCTGATGTCGGAGCTCTCAACTGACCTGTAGAGCAACTCTGTCAGTGGCGCTAAAGATGGGAGACACAAAACTCTCTGTAGGTGTGAACGCTTGTGGGAAGGATTGTTTGTCTACTTGTGTTCTGCAATTGGCTGGCAAGCAGTCCACAGTGCATCCGCCTCTTGCCCAAAGTCAGCTGAGATCAGGACATAAGGACAAGTTCTATGTACTTATAGGGTGGACGGATGGATTATTTCTATTATTTACATCTACAAGTTTGTATGTATGTATGTAAATTAAATAAAACGGAAATGTCATCCTATTGTCCTCTGCTCCTGTTGACCGTATGTCTTTCACAGGTACATCCGATGCTACTACTTTGCAGTGCGTAGCCTGATCAACATCGGTGGGCTACCCGAACCTACAACCATCTTTGAGATAGCCTTTCAGATGACCAACTTTTTCATTGGTGTCTTTGTGTTCTCCAGCCTGATTGGCCAGGTCAGAATCATCTTAAACATTATGAGTCAACAGTTACTGTTGTGTGTGTGTATAACATTTTTCATCTTCCTAAATCGTAGATGAGAGATGTCATTGGAGCAGCAACAGCAGGTCAAACCTATTTCCGAGCATCAATGGATGGCTGCGTAGCTTACATGAACACCTACACAATTCCAAAGTATGTCCAGAACCGAATAAGGACCTGGTACAACTACACCTGGGCTGCTCAGGGCATGCTTGGTGAGCTCTCTTCAGAACGATATCCTGAAAGTTTTAATAAAATAACCAATATAACATATTGGAGGTCTCCCAGTGTGATAGCGTCAGGAATGTTTATTACCTTTAGATGAGTCTGAACTGCTGGATAAGTTGCCTCTGGTGATGAGAACTGCCATTGCAGTGGACATCAACCTGGCCACCTTCCAGAAGATTGCTCTCTTTCAGGTGACTTTACATTCACTTGACAGAGGCTTTGACTGCTCAGTGTCAAATTGTTTTGGTTGGAAACGTGTAGGGGAATAAGTGGAATAAAAACACAAAATCGCAGCGACTAATACTAATCTGTGCACTGCAGCTCTGCTTACCTTTTGGCTTCAGTATTTCCCTGTAGTCCCGCAGCTGGACTCTGGACGCTTGAAAATGGCAGGCCTTTATTCATTCGAACTGCCAAGTTGTGGGCGGAAAAGTCCAGTTTGAGTGCAGATATGATGCATGCTGGGCCGACACATTTCAGAATGTTCAGACACATTTTGGGGGAAAAAGGCAGCTCGCAAAATACGAATGATTTAAGATAAAGAGGTTCAGTGTGGGACCCAACATTAAAATCCGAATGATGTTTATTCCAGGGCTGCGATCAGCAGATGTTGGTGGACATGCTACTGAGGCTCAAGTCCATTGTTTATCTTCCAGGTGATTTTGTCGTGAAGAAAGTGAGTGCATTTACTTAAGCCCTCCAAAGGGAAGGGTCAAGACTACACTTCCTCTCAATAAGACATCTTGCGCTCTCGCCGCAGGGTGACATCGGTAAAGAGATGTACATCATCAAGAGCGGAGCGGTGCAGGTGGTGGGAGGACCTGACAATAGTATTGTCTTTGTCACACTGAAGGCCGGCTGCGTGTTTGGCGAGATCAGGTTAGTGTGCTCGTTCAGACACCTGCCAAGGTACAAAAGTGTCTCCTTATTTTCATCTTGAAAATAATTTCTGTCAAATATGTTTTCCGAAAATTGCAACAACGTGCTGCATTCAAAATTATATGATTCCCAATTTCATTTGATCTTTGGGGTATTTGGACAAAAGCATGTCGTAATTTTTTTTTTTTTTTTTTTTTATGGTACCTGGTAAGTATTTTACATTCCTTATTTGTGGGCATCATAGAAGTGACAATCGGCTCAATGTGTTATTCGACAACAGAAACAGCCTGGGACAGCCTGGATCCTGAATGTATTGTATGATATAAATAGATTTCATGTCTTGCTTTTGTTTTGATTTATCTTTGTATCAGTTTGCTGCAGTCTGCCAAAGATGGAGGGAACAGACGGACAGCAAATGTCAAAGCGTACGGCTTCGCTAATCTCTTTGTTTTGGAGAAGAAGGATTTGTTTGACATTCTGGTGCACTACCCGGAGTCTCAGAAAGTTCTGGCCAGGAAGGGAAGGTGAGCCATGCCTGAAATGTCCACGTTAGTTTTTTTTTTTTTAACCATTTAATTGTTGTTTTTCTTTTGGAAATTGTCTTAGTGTGTACACAAACATTTGCTTCCACTGTGTGTATATATATTTTTTTTGTTACAGATAATAACAGGATAGTGTATATTTAAGTGTATGTTTGTCTCAGTGTATTACTTTGTGGACATTTTTCTTCAGGAAACTGACCAAGGCCAAACCTCCTCCAGGTACGAAAGAAGAGGAAAAGCCAAAAGGTCTGGCTGTCTTTGGCCCAAGACCACCCACACCAAAGTTAATCAAAGTGTTTACCAACCTATGCAAACCTTCGGTAATGTCACTCACTTTTATTTATTTGCTTTTAATAGAGTGGTGCTTGGTCATGACTGTCAAAGCAAAGCCTCGAACATCTGACCGGTTATGATTTTAGTAATAATGTTGATAAATTGATGACAGGGGAGGAGAAGGAAAGGTGCAACTTGAGTACCGTTGACTTGTTTTCGTCTTCACAGAATCAACAACAGCATCGTTGAGCCAGACTGGGAAGCGATTCTACTGCATTGTGGACTCTGATTTCAACTGATCAGTGACACTTATTGCATTTTTGTTTTTTTGGAATATTTATTTGGTGAATTGTTCTTGACTGCCTACAAAAGTAATATTGATCCATCCATCCTGAACATGGTCGGGGGGGCGGGGGGTGGGGGTGCTGGAGCCCATCCCAGCTGACTTTGGGCTGAAGGCAGACCACACACCCTGAACTGCTGGTTTAATGTGTAATAGAAATAATATGCATCAATACATGGGCATACACTGTACATATTGTATTGTGTATTATAAACTGTCAATAATACTATATACAGTACTTGTCTGTCCGTCCAAGGGGAAGGCACTGCGAGTTGTCAAATTGTTGCTGCTTGTCGTGCTCCTTTCCATGTAGTGGCGCTGTTCGTTTTCATCGATTGTGAAAACAGAAAGAAAACGCCGGTCCCTTTAACGCGTCTCACGTGGGACTCACGGTCGGGGCTGTCTCGCGTGCTGACAGCTGAGGCAAACTCATCTGTCCTTTCTTCGCCTTCTGACCCCGTTTGCCTCACTTCAACGTCACCGCGGTTTCATTTATGTTCGGATCATAACAAACGGAGTCATAGTCAACGTGTTAGCCGGCGACAGAAACGCCACCTTTCCTTGAGAAGCGTCACTAGTTAGTGGGGCGGGCAGGGGTTGGGGGTCCCGTTGTGGTAGCCACACCAAGAGAGGACGACGCGACGATCCACGAGGTATTCGGACTCCGTAAATTTCACTGACACTTCTGCGAAATGGTGATCACGACAGAAGAACTCGAGCAGATCCTCCTGCGAATGACGGAGCCTGACAACGCGGTAATCCAGCATGTAAGTACTCCAAACGATCGACGTTGTCGGCATCACAAAAATAAATGAGCAGCGGTGGTGATGACATCGCGGTTTGATGTCCGCCGAGGCTTCGGTTGCTGTGGATCCATTTGTGTTTCTTGTGTACGAGTTGCAGACATTGCTGAGTGTTGAGCTGCGTGTTCCCCCTTTAGGTCACGATCCGGCTGAAGCAGGTTTTCAAAGACCCGGCCATCATCCCTGCCCTTTGTGCTGTCATGAGAGGCTCTCAAAATCCGCAGGTATGTGACTGCACAGTTGCGAAGTATTTATTTATATCGTGTGGCATCGCCACCTCCAAAGTGTGTGTCACTCTCTTAAAAGGCAGGGTTCTATTCGTCCTACATCAGTAATACTGTTGGCATTCTCCTAGTGGAACTTTTATGCTAAGGAGAAATTGACGTTTTTTTCTTGTTTGTTTGTTTTTTCTTAATGTGGTGTCCCCTAGGTCCGTCAGTCGGCTGCAGTGATGCTTCGGATGAGAGTGAAGAAACAATGGAGGAAGATAAGTCCCCCTGACAGAGAAAGGTGAAATTCTATGCTTTTACTGAACGTTCTTGATTTGAGAAATGCAGACTTGTTTTTAAAAAAAATCTCTCTCTCTCGCTCACTCTTTCTCTGTGTCAACTTTCACGTCTTTTCACACAGTCTCAAGGCGGTGGTGTTGCAGGCATTCATGCAGGAAACAGAGTAAGCTAGCAATATGACACGCCGCTTGGAGCGGATTTGATTTGCTGCCTCTTTGCCTTGCAGACACCAAGTGCAGCACTCGCTCTCCCAGTTGTGCGCCTTGATGGTCAAACACGAGACCCCCGAGAGCTGGCCTGCCCTTCTGCAGCTCCTCAATCAAGCCACCAAGAGTGTCAACCCACACGATAGACAGGTTGAGCACTGAAGGGCCCGACCAACACTTCAAGTGAGCACTATGCACTCTCTCACCATGCTGCTTCCTCTTGCAGGTTGGACTGCTGCTCCTGAACAAGGTGATCGAGTCCAACCCGGAGCCATTCCAGCCTCACTACTGCCAACTTCTGCAGCTTTTTAGCACCGTGTTACAGGACCACAACAACCCGACAGCCTTGTACTACTGCATCCTCAGCCTTACGGCCATGACCGTTTACACTGGCACACAACATATGGTGAGATCAATGTTATGTTACGTGATGTGGCGGGCACGTGCCCATTCTAACGTACATCCACTGATGTACAACCTATATGTGTGTGTGTGTGTGTGTGTGTGTGTGTGTGTGTGGTAATCGCAATTTGCCGCCTTTTAGAACCAGATGCGCTCCATCATCCCAATTTTGATTGTCGCTGTGAAACAGCTTATTAAAGCAGATGAGGTAAATGTATTCATGTGTTCTGCTATTTTATTTTTATTTTTTTTAATTTAAGCTTTAACAGAACTATTTGTTCACGCAGAGCCAAGCTAGTGAGTCAATGGAGGTATTCAAAGCGCTAATGGAGAGCGAAATGTCCATCATTGTGCCTCACGTTACAGACATGGTTCGCTTCTTCTTGGAGGTGGGGAGCTCCATGTCGTCTCAAATTGCAGGCATTTGTCGACTCCCTCTTAACATGTTCTGACGCAAGCATGCATGCGTTTTGTGCGTTGTGTAGGTGGGCGGGGATACCACGCTGACTGACTCGCTGCGTGTCAGAGCCCTCTCTTGCATTGCCTTTCTCATCAAGTTGAAGAGCAAGGTATGCTCATGCAACAGCATGGCAAATAGCGCCTTGAAAAAGTATTTGCCCCACTCCTGAATTCAGTTTTTTTATTTTTTTTTGCATATCTATCCAAATTATCCTACCATTTCAATATCAGAGACAACACTGGCACTGTACAATACAATTACAACACAACGTGTTTTTTTTTTTTTTAACTTTGTATTTCCCTCTTTTATGCTGTAGACAGTGCTGAAGCAAAAGCTGCTGCTCCCCATCCTGCAGGCCATCTTCCCCATTTTGACTGCAACACCTCCACCCGGTCAGCACGACCCTGAGGATGATGAAGACGACAACGGAGATGGCGAAGAAAATGACAATCCTAAACATTGTGCCGCTCAGGTTGTAAAAGTCTCTGTGCGGCAATTTAGAGTGTGGAGGAATCTGCTGATTCAAGTAAAAGTCTTCTGAGCAATTGTACTTGGTAATACGCAGGTCATTGACACCATGGCGCTCCACATGCCCCCGGAGAAACTTTTCCATCAGCTGGTAAGTCATCCGAGTTCTTTTCATGCCAGTCTGTCCTGTGTCTCCCACGGTGTTCCGTTCCTCCATGACTTGAATTTGTTGGAACGAGTTAGGATCAATCACTAACACGGCAGAAAAGTCTGACTTGCAATCAATGTATTCATTTGAAAAAGTTCTCGAGCAGAAATTGTGCAGCAATAATATGGAGGGAAAGAATCAGGAATACTTTAAAAAAGGAAAAAAAAAGAAGGGGGGCACATACTGTCTGGCATTTGGCAATGGTTTGGTTACAGGAGAATTCGTATGAAACAAACAAGCACATCATGCAAAAAACAAAAAAAAAAACGTATATGAATATGCCGCATGCGTCACGTGAACGAGAGCGGTGACTCCCCGTGCCACTGCTCTAACCTCAACAATTCATGTCCACCGCTTTTGTGTACGCTGCGATATTGTTTCGTGTGCTACGTTGTTTGCGGCCGTGCTACTCCAGCGGTGCACCGTGAATGCTTATTTGTGGAAGAAGCTACCACCAAGCAGTGTCATATCCTGATTTTTATTTGTTTATTTTTGGGGACTGTTAAAAATTGTACCTCAGATGCCGCTGACTCAGATCTGCCTGGCCAGTGATAACCCCTATCAGAGGAAGGGGGGCCTCATGTGTCTTGCTGTGCTGGCTGAAGGATGTGCAGATCATATACGCACCAAGTATGTGCAGTTGTTAACGATGGAATGTTTAGTTTTTTTTTTTTAAATCGGGAACGACCGATGTACCTTGACCCGTCATTGCAGGATGCTGTCGTCGGTGCTGCAGACGGTCTGCCAGAGTCTTTCAGATGCTAATCAGGTGGTGCGCGGTGCCGCTCTCTTTGCCCTGGGACAGTTCTCGAAACATTTACAGGTGACCTTTGACACCGTGATATTTGATCTCCGCCCCATTTCTGTGTTGAAACATTCTAAGTGAGTGTATTGCATCCCTCCATTTTCACAGCCTGAAGTGAGTAAACATTGTGAGGAATTGATGCCTTTGCTGCTCGGCTATCTTTCGTCTTTAAACCAGGCCAAGGTTGGCCATGTCACTAAGGCCTTTTATGCGCTGGAGAATTTCATGGAGAACTTGGGTAAGCTATGGAATAGCGCTGCGTGTACCTTGCCGACTCCATCGGAAACCGCTCGCTTTCCATCAATCTGTACATTAGTATACCGCTGCACGTCAAAATTCTGGACCGCGACACACCACCTTTAGGGCTCCAGAAATCGCCATTCTTTGTCGCACATCGTACGAGACATTGTGGACGTCGTGGTGGGAATGGTTTGAAGAAGACTTTATCCTTTTCACGCTGCGTTAAGGGCACGTGAGGCCTAGTTTGGTGTGAAGGAATTTGAATTTGGCATTACGAGCAAGCGCCCACAAAGACAACAAAGTGGTGCCTTGAGTAAGCACGCTCGTAACTCATAACGCTCATTTGTCAAATCATCTTTCGCCATTGAAATGGCCATCTGTTCAAGCCCATCCCCCCCAAAAAAAACAACAAACATCTAAAAATCGCACTCTGATACTGTACTTTAAACAAAGCTATTCAAGTACTGGCTGCAACCACCAGTAAACGCATTCATACTTTTTCGGCAGCTATAATGCTCATCTGTACATCTCACGACTCAGTGCCACTCTGCTTGCATTTTGGGTATCAAAGGTTTGCGACACCTGTGGGGGATGTGGGCGTTTCCGCATCACAGTGCGTCCGCATGCTAGTCTCACCGAAAGCAGAGTCGGCTGAATGAGGTGAATAATTTAAAAAAAGATCTATAATTATAATAATAATAATTGTTGTTTTTTTTTTCCCCTTGTATTTCTTGTAAAACAGGAGCGGATATTGAGCCGTACCTTCCCACCTTGATGAACACCATGTTGTCTTCCCTCAACAGCACAGACAGCCTGAAAATCAAAGAGCTCACTGTGTCCGCCATCGGCGCCATTGGTGAGTCCGGCTTTTCGGCGCCCTGTCAAACCACCTTGATGCATGTTTGTGAAACGGGTCCATGACATGATCACATTTTAT